TTGCATCTGTTTTTGGCCTCACCAGTAATCTGTATATGAAGGAAACATTAAAAAAATAAAACATAACAAGATTGACCCGGTTCTAAAAATTTTGCTTCATTTTGGTGGTCTGCGCAAAAATGTACCGAAGTTTATAGAAAATACTGTACAATAATTAGCTGCAATTCTTCCTCGGAACTACGACTAATCAATTGCGTAATATATGTTAACAGCAAAAATAACAACAGTAAAAGTTATGCAAAAAAAAAAAGAACAAAAAATTTGAATATTTTTTAATTGTGCATAAGTTCATTAGTTCCTTTTCTTTTCATTTTTTTTTTCTTGATTATTGGTAATCATAAAAATTTGAACACATTCTATCATATTGGTCATTTGCAGCCCGCCACATACTGTACACTGTTAAATCACAGATGATACAAATAAGTCAATTTTACTACAGACTTTAATCCTTACTGTTCCTCCTCCATCGTCGTTAACTATACATCAGTTTAATAAGTATCGCATAAAAGATAAGTTTTTGAGTAAAAAATTTGCTTACATTAAGAATAAAAAAAACACAGGAGAAGAAGAATAAAAACAAGATAGATTTTGCAAATATTTTGCCAGCGATTATCCTTCTTTCTTTTTATCAGTTAAGTTCAACAAACAGTTGTGTAACTTGGACCATATATATATTTTTGCTACTCATCTACCTGCCAATGTGCGAAGACCCGACACTTTTCTGTTTACTTATCGAATCGTAGCAACAACATATGTTTTGCCCAATAACAGATCACCACAACAACATTTTCTTCTCAAGGTGAACCAATAAGACGGTAACTTTGGTTGGTCAAAATTTCATAGTGTGGTAGGAATTACTTATAGAAACTATTAAAAGTTCCTTAATAATCTAAAATAAATTTACTTTTTCTTCTCAATCACAAATAAGATTCGCTTTTTACAGTTAGTTAATAAACGTTAGAAAAGTGTTGTAAGAGGGAAAACTGTACAAAAAGCCAGCAAAAAATTACTTGACAGCACAAAGTTTATAACTAAGTATACTAAGTGACTGCATTAGACGTTGAGCAGTTAAGCCACTGATTTGGGTTTGTACTTAAAAAATAATATTTCAACCATTTTTTTTTTCTCAGAAAATATAAATCAACAAATATTTAATTTACTTTTTCCTACTTTTCATTTTTCTTTTTCTCTTCCCACAATTCTTCTTATTTAATCTAGCGATAAAGAGGGCAACAAAACTGCTGCTGCTACGAACAGAACTTAAGGACTGACTCAGGGTTTAGATTGGTTGGAATTTTTCGTGGATTTAGAAAGCGCACATTAAACAGATGTCCATGTAAAAATACTGTTAGTTTGGTTTTGTTGTATGTTAATCAAAAGGGGAACCAGCTGGTGGAACATTTTTAACGCCCATTATGGTAAACCGGAGCTTTTGTTCAACCAGTATCATCCATTGCCAATAATAATTAGATGTTTAGATTTTTGATTATTTTGCAGTTTTGACACAACTGTAAACATCAAACAGCTTTTCACTAAAGTCGGATACCATTAAATGTCAATCTGCGTGCATCTTTTATTGTACCTACTTACCACTACCACAATCATTCAAAATATTCAACCGATGTACTAACTAATCAAGTGACCAAACTATACTGCTGCCTAAACTATCTTGAATTGATAGTTACCAAAACAAGTGCAAAAAATTTAAACTGCAAATTCCAACAGTTAAAGAGTAAAAAAGAACTGAAAAAAGTTAAATTTTTCAAAAATTACCTACAGTAAAATCAAACAAATAATCCAATTTCATTTTCACTGCTACAGTTACTGGCAAAAGGAAACATATTTTCAATTAGTTACTAGATTCTTTTCATTTTAGCAAAAAAATTTTAATATTAAATCAAAAAACCAAAAAAAAAAAAATTCCGCATCTTTGTGCCAAAAAATGTTTATT